ATAAGTTTATTTATATCATTCTGATTCTATCTGTATATATATACATACGTATATATGTATATATATATATATATATATATATATATATGTATATATATATATATATATGTATATGTAGAATTTAGTTATTTATACGTTATTGAAATATTCATATACCAAATATGTTTATATGAAGGACTGAATTAACTTATGTTGTTGGTTGTTTGTTTTATTTTAATTTATTTTTGTGTGTATACATGATACGAAATTACTTTAAATATAAAAAGTATTAGAAAATATATATTTTTATTTTATTTTTCTTTTTTTTTTTGTTTATAGACGCACCTGAGGCAGCTGTGCTTCATATATCTGCGCCTGCAGCTCTTCTCTCTTTCTGTGTCGTTGTATTATATGTTCCCATGTATGAATGAGAGAAAGATGAATATTAGCAGAAAAAGAAATATTTAATTTTTCTTTTGAAGCCAAAGATTCCTCCTGAAGCCATTCAATAAATTCAGTTTCCGCTTCCACCGATAGAAACCGCAAACCCCTATCGAGCGTTTCAGACGAAACTGGCGGAGAAAATGCATTTTTTTGCAGTATTTCGGCTATTTCAGCAGCTTTATTATCCATTTTTATTAATTTTCATCAAAAATCCAACAAAAAAAACACAAAAACACCCATATTTAGTGCTTTCTCTCGCCGACGCAACCACCGCCCGTTTGCTTTCTTTCTATTCATGAGCTGTCTGTACACCCCAGCATGTTGACGACGGAAAGCTGAATTTTTTTTTTTTTTTTTAAAACTTTATTTTCTTTTTGTTTCTACTTGTTTTTTTATACAAACGCAGATATATTCCTCTCTATTTTTTTTGTATTTATTTCGTTGCTGTATCTGCATCTAAATAAGAAAACAAACTGCAGCTACTACCGCTGCTTGTTGCTGCCTCTTTTTGCTTCTCAAATATATTGCTGATTCTGCTTCTACTCCTACTGCTTGCTGCTGCTTGCTGCTGCTGCTGCTGCTGCTGCTGCTGCTGCTGCTTGCTGCTGCTGCTTGTTGCTGTTTGTTGCTACTTGTTTATGCAGCAGCAGCAGATGAGATAGTGAATGTTGTGTTTATATTTCATGTTGCGTGTGCGTACCTGTTTATTCTATTCATTAGTTTATTTTTTTTCTAATTTATTATTATTTATTTTTTATTTGTTTGACTACCAACCTTCACACATTTGCATTAAACTAAAACTTGAAAAAAAAAAAAAAAAAAAAAAAAAAAA